ACCTCCCTAGGGAACCCGTTCCAGTGCTTCACCACCCTCCTAGTGAAATAGCGTTTCCTAATATCCAACCTAGACCTGGGGATAGCTACCCACAGTGCACTGCTCTCACTGTTGATGCTAAAGCCCCAAGTGTGGATGCGCTCTGTCAGCACATGACGTGTAGTGTGAACATGCACCACCGATGTTATTATAATGCTTTTTGGTTGTCGATAATATTTTTGTCAACAAATCTCTAGTGTACACAAGGCCTGCGTTTGCAAGGTGCAAGCAATGGAGAATCTTAACTTGCTCAGAGAGCCCCATCTGATATATAGGGAGTTTGTGACAGTCCCAAGAGCCAGTTTGGAGCCTGCATTTTCATCTGCCTCTGATGGAAACCAAAAGCAACAGGCTGAGAGAAAGCCAGGAAGCGGGGTCAGCAAACAAACCCCTGGCAGCCCTTCTCTTGCAAGGAAACACAAGCGAGGGAACACCCCGTGGAGCTGCTTCAAACAGCAGCTCAAAAGCTTGTCTCCCTCCCCAGCAGAAGTTGGTCCAATGAAAGAGAAGACCTCACCCACCTTGGCTCACTCATACGCTCTAGCTTCATTTTCTTTTGTCACATTTTCCCAGATGAAAAAACAAAATCAAAATTAGGGAAACCCCCTTTCTCACAATATTCTACCTCTGCCTGCCACCCCCATGGGTTGAATCACTCAGACAATTCAACAAAAGGGGTTTCCAGAAAAGCCTACCCCTAAAATCAAGGGGTTGGAATGGGGGCAGGGAAGGGGTGGGAAGAGGCAGGGCCTCATGGAAGGGGTGGAGTGGGGGCGGGGCTGGGAGCAGCAAGGGGTGGGTGTCAGTGATGCAGCCCTCGGGCCAATGCACTAGTCCTCATGCAGCCCGCGTGGTCATTTGAGTTTGAGACCCCTGATCTAGATCAGTATCCTGTCTTCCGACAGTGGCCAATGCCAGGTGCCCCAGCGAGAATGAACAGAACAGGTAATCAACAAGTGACCCATCCCCTGTCGCTCATTCCCGGCTTCTGACAAACAGAAGCTAAGGACACCATCCCTGTCCATCCTGGCTCATAGCCATTCATGGACCTATCCTCCACAAATGTATCCAGTTCTTTTTGAACCCTGTTATAGTTTTGGCCTTCGAAACATCCTCTGGCAAAGGTTGACTGTGCGTTGTGTGAAGAAATAGTTCCCTTTGTTTGTTTTAAACCTGCTGCCTATTCATTTCATTGGGTAACACCTAGTTCTTGTGTTATGTAAATAACACTTCCTTATTTACTTTCTCCACACCAGTCAGGATTGTATAGACCTCTATCATATCCCCCCTTAGTCGTCTCTTTTCCAAGCTGAAAAGTCCCAGTCTTATTAATCTCTCCCCATATGGAAGCCGTTCCACACCCCTAATCATTTTTGTTGCCCTTTTCTGAACCTTTTCCAATTCCAATTTGAGATAGGGCCACCAGATCTGCACGCAGTATCCAAGACGTGGGTGCACCACGGATTTATATAGAGGCAATATCATATTTTCGGTCTTATTATCTATCCCTTTCTTAATGATTCCCAACATTCCGTTCGCTTTTTTGACGGCCCCAGCACATCAAGTGGATGTTTTCAGAGAACTATCCACAGATATCCCAGATCTCTTTCTTGAGTGGTCACAGCTAATTTAGACCCCATCATTCTATATGCTTGTTGATTCCTTCCAAAAATTCTAGTAGATTGGTGAGGGATGATTTCCCTTTACAAAAAGCATGTTGACTCTTCCCCAACAAATCATGTTCATCTATGCATCTGATAATTCCCTTCTTTACTATAATTTCAACCATTTGCTGGGCACTGAAGTTAGTCTTAGTGGACTCTAACTGCAGGGATTACCTCTGGAGCCTTTTTTTTAAAATTGGGGTCACATTAGCTATCCTCCAGTCATCTGGTACAGAAGCTGATTTAAATGATAGGTTACATACCACAATTAATAGTTCTGTAATTTCACATTTGAGTTCCTTCAGAAGTCTTCTCCAGATTACTTATGAGAATGTCATGTGGGACTGTGTCAAAAGCCTTGCTGAAGTCCAGGTATGTTATGTCCACCTCTTTCCCCCTGTCCCCCACCACTTACCTCATCAAAGAAGGAAATCAAGCTGGTTTGGCAGAATTTTCTCTTGGTAAATCCATGCTGGTGATCACCCATTCGTCCTCACAAATTGAAGGTTTTATACATTGCTCTAGTAGCTTTCCAGGTGTCGAGGTCAGGGTGACTGGTCTATAGTTCCCCGGCTCCTCTTTTTTCCCTTTTAAAGATGGCCACTCTGTTAGCCTTTCCCCCATCTTCTGGGACCTCTCCTGGCATCCAGGAGTTTGCAAATATTATTGCCAGTAGCTCCAATTAATTTCTTCAGTCCCCTGGACTGAACAGCGTCCCACCCCACAGATTTGAATTTATTCAAATTGGTCGGAAAATCTCTGACGTGTTCTTCACTTATCCCAATCTGCAGCCCTTCCCCTTTGTTGTCTGTGGTAACTTCACTGGTCACCCGCTCACATGTTGTTTTTTTGTGGGAAGACTGAAGCAAACAGACACTGAGCAGCGCTGCCTTCCCACCATCTTCTGTCACCAGCTTAGGATTTTCTGGCCGATCTCATGATTCTTAGAGAAAATCTCAGTTTTTTCACCAATTTAAGGATTTTTTTAGCCCACGATCTCTTGGGACCATCTGGGGATTTGGGGGGTCACTGAACTGCCAGCAGCTCCAGATCAGCCCCCTGCAGAGCCCAGCAGTACTGATGGTCCCCCAGGCAGATCTGCATCCCCTCAAACAGCCTCTGCTCTCACACTTCTCACCCCCCATCTGTCTCTAGGTCTGTCCCAGCCGGACGTCCCAGCCATGGGCAGAGCCCTGCTGCCACAGCACGACGCCGGGGAACGGGAACTCCCGCCTCAGGGCCCCCTCTGGAGAGCAGGGGGTCCTGCCACGCTGAGGGTCCTGATCCTCGCCCTGCTCTGGAGGGGTAAGTAAGCAGCACCTGCAGCCCAAGAGGGAAGGGCAGAACCTGCATTAAGCAGTGCCAGGTCTGTCACAGAACTTGGAAGGGAGACTGGCCAGAGGGGGAGGGGAGCCCAGTGCCCCACTGTGGTGCTAGGGGGCGCTGAGTGACAGGGAGCGGGCAGGGTGCTCGATGGAGGGAGGAATGGAAATTAAATGGGGTGAGAATTGGTCAAAGACCCAGGGCTGGGCTCGCAGGGGGCTGCAGGTTGGGAGTGAGGGGCACCGGCAGAGCTGAGGGGTGCAGCTCAGGGTTGGTCTCTGCTCTCTATGGGTCCCACTTCGATCCCTCTCCATCCATGCAGGGTCCCTGTCCCAGCTGCTCGGATTTACCCTGACGGTGCCGCAGTCGGTGTCGGTGCAGGAGGGTCTCTGCGTTCTCGTCCCCTGCAACTTCAAGTACCCAGCCTCGTATGACACTAAGAATTCCCCGGCCCGGCTCTACAGATACTGGTACAAGGATCCGGCCGATGTGGGCCGGAATCCGCCCGTGGCCAGCAGTGACCCCAGCCGGTTGGTGACGCAGGAGACCCAGGGCCGGTTCCGGCTGGCGGAGAATCCAGCGCGCGGCGACTGCTCCGTGCAAATCAGCGACGCCCGACAGACGGATGCAGGGAGATATTTCCTTAGAGTCGAGGGAGACTTTAAATACACTTACCGCACCAGTGCCGATGGCACTGACCTTACGCTCACGATCTCCGTGCCAGGTAAGAGCAGCCCCAGTCACCACTGATCAGCCCCCCTGAGCCAACCAGTCCCCGCCCTGGGGCCCTTTCCTAGAGGGGAAAGGCCCCGTGTCCCCGAGTGATTCTCTCCCCTCTCCCGGTGTCTCAGGGCTGACCGAGAAGCCAGAGATCCAGATCTCGCCAGCGCGGGGGCTGCCAGGGACACTGCTCGCCGGAGAGCCGGTGACTGTGACCTGCACGGCCCCTGGGCGCTGCTCCGGGACCCCTCCCCGAGTCACCTGGATGGGGCCGTTCAGTGACACAGCCCGGAACGTCTCAGCCCAGCTGGCGAATGGCACCTGGGCCCACAGCTCCGCGCTCAGCTTCACGCCTACCCCGGGGAAACACGGCAAAGAGCTCGTCTGCAGCGTCACCTACAGGCCTCCATGGGGACCTTCCACCAGCAAAACCGTCCAGCTCCATGTCGTCTGTGAGTGACCCATCAGCCCCTCCATGCTGCCCCCAGACCCCTCTGCTGGGATCCCCACCCTTGGGCTCCCCAGCCCTGCCATCCAGCCCCTCCCCCAACTCTGCCCTGTGCTGGGATCCCCACCCCCCACCATGCACCCTCAGCCAATTCTACTCCAGGCCCCTTCCCTCCACACCTTGCACCCCTTCTCCCTTGGGATCTTCACCCCTTCCTGCCCCCCTTGGCTATGGTTTCCCCCCCTCCCACCTGCACCCCCAGGTCTCCAGGCCCTTCTCTTCTGGGATCCTCTCTACCCCCAACGTCCCCTGCCCCCAGAATCCTCCTGTGCTGGGATCCACCCCCCATTCCCATCCCCCCTTGCTTAGATTCCCTCCCTCACACCAGCCACCCCAGTTCCCCCTGAGATCCCACCGCGTCTCCTCCACCCCTCCGACGTGAAGGATCAAATCAGGCTTCGCTATAAGGACGCCCCTTGTTCCCTTCAGCCGGAGGGAGATTTAGCAGGAAACTCCCCCACCCCCGTGTCTGAGCCCAGGCCCCAGCCCGACCCCGAACGTCTACACAGACATCAGAGGAAACGTCCGCGCTGCAATCAAAGACCCGCATCCCGAGCCCCCGAGCCCGACCCAACAGACTCAAGTCCAGCTGTTCCGCGTGTTACTTTTAGCCGCCACTCTGGGCGCAGCTGGATTGCAAAATATCCAGCCCTGAACGGCCAAGCCGGGGGCAAAAGGAGAGGGCTGGGGAGAGAGGAACCAAGGGGGGAAGGCAAAGGACCCATAATGGTTGTGTCTGATGTCCCTGGTGGTGGCTGGGTCTGGGATGGGGGTGGGAGTGGGGTTATTTAGACCCCTGGCTCTGTCCCACCTGGGGAGGACACATTTGGGGAGCAGGACGCTGAATGCCCAGGTGCCTGGCAGACAGTGGCGCTGGTGACAGTCGCTCGAGTGCCCAGGCCGGAGCAGCCCGGCCCCTCATTAGTGACTCCACCAATTAGGCCCAATTTTGACTCACCAGTTTTTGTCCCTTGGGTTTCCATTTCCCACGGTTCTGGTTCCCCGGTGCGGCCCTCACCCGGCCCCTGTGTTCCTTCGGGCACCTCTTGGGTGGGGCTCAGTCGGGTCTGTCGCTTCCCTTCCCCGCCCACGGGTCTTGTGTCACTTCAGGGACTTTCCCGTCCCCCAGCTGAGCTCACAGCGAGGGGCCATGTCTAGGCTCAGTGATCACTAGCAACTCCCCCCCGGTGCTGTCCAGCCCCCCCATATCCACCTCTGTCTGGTTTGTGTTACAGACCCACCCGGGCCCCCCAACATCACCGGGAACCTGACTACGAACGGACGCCCCGGTGAGAGGCCGCACTGCGAGCTGCGGAAATCAGCGAGCGCCTCCTAGTCACACTCTGCCCGCGCTCAGGGCCAGGTGCCAGGCTCAGCCGGGGCAGACTGCTCCATGCCCGGAGGGGAGAGCCCGAGGAAGCTGCATGGCTGTGGGGAGGGTGGTGGGGGGAGCGGGCCTGGTTCCCTCAGTCTCCAGACCCCCAGACAGAATTAAGGGTGTGCTGGGCAGTGGGGAGGAGATGGGTCAGGGACTGATCTCTGCAACGGAGACCTGCTGCCATGGAAAGGCACCGAGATTGTGCGCCCACCCCAGAGCTGGCTACGTCTCCACGCTGGGTGAGGGGTCCTTGTATAAACAGCCCCTGCACCCCACCCCAGAGCTGGCTGCATCTCAGCTCTCGGGGTGGGGGGGGGCTAACCTGCCTGCTCGTCTCTTCCAGGGCCGGCCCCATTGGGAACTGAGGGCGACATTGTGTCTCTGGAGACCCAGGAAGGCGACTCCCTGAACCTGAGCTGTGAGGCTTCGAGCAGACCCGAGGCCACGCTGAGCTGGGCCAAGGGGAACGAGTCCCTGAGCCCTGGCCAGGGAGGGGCCGGGCATCTGGAACTGCCGAATCTCAGCCGAGGGGACGCTGGGGAGTATCGGTGCTGGGCAAAGAATTCCTATGGGTCGGCCAGCCGGGCCCTGCGTGTGCACGTGCAGAGTAAGGTGCTGGGGGGCGCTTGTGCCACACAGAGGGGCCTTAGTGGCGGGTACTGGGCTGCAGGGGGCAGGTGGTCAGTAGGGGGCGCTGTGCTGCAGGGGGTGGGCTGGGGGTCAGTAGGGGGCACTAGGCTGCCGGGGGAGGGCAGGGGATCCATGGGGGGTGCTGGGCTGCAGGGGGGGCGGGGGTTCATTGGGGGTGCTGGGCTGTGGAGCAGGGGGTCAGTGGGGGTCACTCTGCAATCTAATATGTAGCCGTGGGTATTTCAGCTCCAATGAGGACTCCGGAAATCACCGTCTCCAGAGCTAACAGGAGCGACCCCCAGCTATTCCAAGGTACCGCTAGGGGGTGGGGAGTGGGGCACGGGGCCTTTCCCCTCCAGGGGCATTGGCCCCGATCCGGCCCCTGGGCAGGGACTGGCTGGCTCAGGGTGCAAGTGGCTCTGTGTTATTCCTGTTCCCAGATCCCAGCACCACGGTGAGGAATGGCTCACAGCTCACAGCCCGGGAGGGCGACTCCCTGCGGTTCCTCTGCTCTGTCGCCAGCAGCCCCCCCACTGCGCTGTGCTGGGTGAGGGGGGGCCGAGCCGTTGAGGGCGCCCACCCCGCGGGGGAGAATCAGCTGCGGCTGGAGCTGCCCAACGTGACGGCCAAGGATGGGGGGCTGTACGGCTGCTGGGCCAAGAACATGGAGAGCTCTGCCCAGGGGACGTTCCAGCTGCTCATCGAGTGTGAGTGGGATTAACCCACAGAACTCCCTGCACCTGGATATTAATGGGGTTAACCCACACGACTCCCTGCCACTCGGTGTGAGTGGGGTTAACCTGTGGGACTCTCTGCCACTGGGTTTCTCTCTCTGACTATTGTCGCTGTGTTTCCTACTCTCCCCAGACAGCCCGCGGCCGGGGACCAGGCTGAACTCGTCCTGCCAGCACCAGGGGCCCAACATCAGCTGCAGCTGCTCCCTGCGCTCCCACCCCCCACCCCGGCTCCAGTGGCAGGTGGACGGGGAGCCCCTGGCTGGGAACGGCTCACGGGGGGCCCTGCAGGTCAGCTCGTGGGACCAGGGGGACGAGGCCGTCAGCACCCTGAGCTGGACGGGGATCTGGGACAGGGGCCCCCAGATCTTCTGCCTCGGCTCCAACCCCCATGGGACCTACGCCGCCCTGCACTTTGACTTCAGTCCCCCACGGAGAGGTGAGACACTCGGACTCCTGGGTTCTGTCCCCAGTTCTGGGAGAGGAGTGGGGTCTGGAGGGGGTGGAGGGGGCTGGGAGCCAGGACTCCTGGGTTCTCTCCCAGCCGTGCCCTATGCTGTGTGTTTTTGCAGGTGCAGAGGAGCCCAGTAAGCTACTGGGCGTCGGGGTGGCCTGTGGGCTGGGGGTCGCCATCGGCTTCTTCCTTCTCGGGCTCTGTGTGATCAAGTGAGTCTGAGGCCTCCCGCCCTGACCCCCAGCAGTCCCCACCCCCGAGATCCCGCTGAGATCCTCTGCCCTCTCTCCTGGGCTTTTCCTGCCCCCCCAGCCCCCTCCCCCAAGCCGCTCTCTCTGGCCTATCCCAGTCCCCTGCACTCTACCCTCCCATACTGGTGTTCCTTCCTTTCTCCCTCCCCACGGGGCTATTCTACCCCCCCCCCACACCCCGTGTGTCATGCATCTGTCCTGATCTGTTTCCCTGCAGGCTGTGGGCCCAGGAGCTGGCGCCCCCCAGCGCTGAGGCTGGGGAGATGGCTAACGGGAGCCAGGCCAAGCACACGGCCGATGAGGCCAGCGTGATCTACAGTAACGTCCCCACCATCCCCATGGTATGTACCTGCGGGGAGCCGGGGACCAAGCCCACCTGCCCTTCCCACCCCACCTCTTCTCTTCCCCCCCCCCACTTCTTCTCCTTCCCACCCCCTTAACGAAAGCATGAATATAAGCCAGGCTTTCACCAGGGCACCCGATCCCCCCACGCGGTGCAAGAAATATACCCCTGCCACCAGCCTGGGCTCCCCGAACTGCATGGGATCAGCTCCTGCATGCAGAAAATGCACCTCATCCCTCCGGTCTCACTCAGAGGGGAGGACATGCAGCGAATGCATTCACGTGCATTCACAAAGTGCACGGGACTAGATTGGGGCTGCAATGCTGCCAATCCCTGGGCATCTCCCGAATGCACCAGCTGGGCAAGAAATGCATTTCTGCGGCTGCCTCCTATGGTATTAGGGGCATATGCTCAGACAGTGCATGCAGGGTGCACCGTGTCTGTTGCGAATTTATGCACCCTGCAGAAAATGCAATGAACGTATCAGCATAGTCCAGGGATCGGCAACCTTTGGCATGCGGCTCTCCAGAGTAGGCACCCTGGCCGGCCGGGCCAGTTTGTTTACCTGCCGCGACCGCAGGTTCGGCCGATCACGGCTCCCACTGGCTGCAGTTCGCTGCTCCAGGCCAATGGGGGCAGCAGGAAGCGGCGGCCAGCACATCCCTCGGCCCGCACCATGCACAGAGCATAAAATGCACACAGCCCCATGCATCTTGCTAATGCATGGCTGGTGCAGGCAATGCAGAGAATGCATTAATTTAACCGGTGCTGCCCCAAGCTGCATGGGAGCAGTTCATGCATGCTCGGTGCATGAAATCCAGTCAATACATTCACTGAACCTGTTCTGTGATGAGATGCATGAGATGAAATCCTGCATGCGTGGTGCATGAAATGCGCACACCCCCATGCATCTTGCTAATGCATGGCCTGTACAGCTGAGGCAGTGAATGCATTAACTGAGCTGGTGCTGGCGTGGGATTGGCACATGCGTGCAGCGAGTGTGAAACACACCCAAACCCCCGTCTCTTGCTAGTGCACGCCCGATGCAGGAAATGCATTTGCATGGAGGGTGGGGGAAACGAGGCCTGGGGCAGCCCATGCAATCAGCTCAGCAGGGTGGATGCAAGTCTCTGCCTGGTGTCTCTGCCTTGCTCCTCACTCAGCATCACAAGACTCCAGCTGCCCACCAGACCAAAGGCATCCAGGACGGGGCTGCCACAGCCCAGGCCCCGCTAGGCCCCGGGGAGCCAGACGAGCTGCACTACGCTGCCATCGACTTCTCCAAGCTGCAGCGCAAAGGGGCGGAGCCTCCGGAGGCCCCCGCCACGGAATATTCAGCGGTCCGGTGGAAATAGCCCTTAGCGCCATGGGCCCAGGCTGGGCATCTCCACCTCCTGGGACCACAGCTCTGAGGTGGCCTGTCTCTGCCATGGACCCCCTCAGGGAGTCCCCTTGTTCTGTACCCCCGGAGCCTCCACCCCCCGAGGGAGCAACGCCCCCCGATCTCTACCCTGCCGTGACTCTCCGCCAACGTCACACAGGTTTATTGAATGTCTGCACCCAGCACAGGAGGATCTCAGGGCCCTTGGGCCTGGCCTCCCTCAGCACGGGACATCTGGGTCTCTCTTACATCCAGGTGGGCTCTGACTGCTCTCCTCCCAGTCCAGAAGCCCCCTCCTTCCACCTGGGCATCCGATATCACTGGCCCCAACGCTCCTCCCCTGTCCTTTGTGTCCTTTGTCCTCCATCGCAGGTAAACAGGTCACCGGGGTCCTCTCTGCTCAACACATTGTCCTCCGCTGCCCAGAACTGGTTACCTTTCAAGCTGGGGGGAGGGGGTTCTGGTCACCAGGTCACCAGTTGTTTGGGTTCCCCATCTCCAGGCCGTTGTGCGGGGTCCCGGCTGCCAGGCGAGGTCACACTGGCCCTCTCCAACAACAAACCCTCTCCTTCCACCTCATTACACACGCAGCACACAGGGAAACTGAGGCACATACGCACCTTTCTGGCCTTGGCATCTAGCAATGCCACTTCTCCCTGCATAATCTTCCCTCCCCGGCCGGTTGTGGGTGATACATCCACCAGGCCCGGAAATAAGGCAAAACTGCTTTATTTCTTTGGCCGTTTAGTTCAGAGCAACTTTCCCAACTCTGCTGGGACTGGGTGCCCCGGGCCACAGAGATTCCACTCGCTCCACCTGGAGGTAGGTGAGCAAGGAGTTGGGGGGCGGGCTGATTGTGGTTTGGGGGTGTGGCATGACAACGACCTGGGAAAGAGGCAGTGGGTTGCAGGGGGAGGGTACCTAGGGGAAATGAAGAGACTAGAAAACAAACAGACACAATCCGATGAGTGTGTAACGCATGGAGAAATTAGACCCAACAATAGGGTTACCATACGTCCGGATTTTCTCGGACATGTCCGGCTTTTTGGGACTCAAATCCCCATCTGGGGGGAAATCCCAAAAAACCAGACATGTCTGGGAAAATAGGGAGAGCCCGGTGGTGCTCGGCCAGGGGCCGGGGCCAGGAGTGCGGATCCGGGGGTGTTCGGCCGGGGCCGGTGGTGCAGGGCCGGGAGCCAGGCTGGGGGTGCTCGGCCGGGGCCGGCGGTGCTCGGCCGGTGGCCGGGGGCTGGCCCGGGACCTGGCCCGGGGCCGCTCGGCCGGGATCTGGGGGCCGGGCCGGGGCCGGCGGTGCTCGGCTGGGGGTGTTGGGCCCGCATTGGCCCGGGGCCGGGGGTGCTGAGTCGGCCGGGAGCCGGGGCCGGCGGTGCTGAGCTGGGGGTGGGGCCGCGGTGCGTCAGGCCAGGGGGTTGGCCTGGGGCTGGGAGCCGGGGGTGTTGGGCCGGCGGTGCTTGGCCGGGGGTGTTGGGCCGGGGGCCGGTGACCCAGGGCCCGAGCCGAGCTGGGCGGGAGACGCCGGGTCCGGAGCCTCTTGGCCTGGGCCGCTCAGCCGCGCCCAGCCCCACCCCAACCCCAGCTTACCTGCTGCCTCCCTGTTGCCCCCCTGTTTCAGGCTTCCCGCGAACATTTGATTCGCGGGAAGCAGGGGAGGGAGAGGAGCAGGGGGCGGAGCGTTCAGGGGAGGGGGCAGAGTTGGGGCGGGGACTTTGGGGAAGGGGCGGAGTTGGGGCGGAGCCGGGGCGGAGTTGGGCCGGGGCCAGGGCCCCGTGGAGTGTCCTCCTTTTTTAAAATGAAAATATGGTAATCCTATTCAACAATCTAGTGCAGGCAGATACACAATCTGATCAGGATAAAATGCAAGGGAAAATTAGACACAACAATCCCTTCTAAAACTGCAGAATGGTTGTCATTGTGGTGCTGATCATTCCCAGGAAGCTTGTCTTTGATCTGGGAACAAACACAGAACCTCACTGAAGCTAAGGGGTGTTAGTAGCCTTCCGTGCAGCCTAAATGAGGCAGCAATTAAATACCCCTTTGCTTAGTGGTAAATGAAACAGGGGCATTGATTGGATTGTACCTATGTGCGTCTGAAGTAGAAAGCTGCCCCAAAAACGGCTACAGCAAGCCAGAGGAGCCCTGAGAAGAAGCCAAGGGAAATCTTTTTGGGCAGAGTACTGTCTGCAAGCAGGCTTGGATGTAGGAGCAGGATTTTATAATTGTACTATGAGCATTACAGTATGATTTGATTTTATCCTGCCAGCCGCCCTTTTTGAATAGCAGAAAGGAATGATCCTCTGGGACTATGGGATTCCATTTCCCATATGCATTACAAATTGGGCCCTTTTAGTTCTTTGTTTTAAGGTTTAGTTAGTAAGAGACAGGATCCTGTATTGTGTATATTATTATAAAACTTAGCAAGGTTTAATTTACAATGTCTTTTTGCTCGATATAAAATACTGCTGTTTGTATTCTCTGTAAAAGACTGTTTGTGTGAATGAGAAATGCATGCATCAGGAAAAGATAAGGTGAAGGCCATTGTTAACCAGATGGTCAAGAAAGGAGGAGCGAAGACAAAGGTTTCTAACCATTAGAGGAGTGAAGTTCTGGAACAGCCTTCCAAGGAGCAGTGGGGGCAAAAGACATATCTGGCTTCAAGACTAAGCTTGATAAGTTTATGGAGGGGATGGTATGATGGGATAGCTTCCTTTTGGCAATTAATTGATCTTTGACTAAGCGGTAAATATGCCCAATGGCCTGTGATGGGATGTTAGATGGGGTGGAATCTGAGTTACTACAGAGAATTCTTTCCTGGGTGTCTGGCTGGTGAGTCTTGCCCACATGCTCAGGGTTTAGCTGATCGCCATATTTGGGGTCAGGAAGGAATTTTCCTCCAGGGCAGATTGGCAGAGGCCCTGGGGGGGTTTTGCCTTCCTCTGCAGCGTGGGGCACGGGTCACTTGCTGGAGGATTCTCTGCACCTTGAGGTCTTTAAACCACGAGTTGAGGACTTCAATAACTCAGGCATAGGTTAGGGGTTTGTTAAACGAGTGAGTGGGTGAGATTCTGTGGCCTGCTTTGTGCAGGAGGTCAGATTAGACGATCACAATGGTCCCTTCTGACGTTAAAGTCTATGAATCTATGAGTCTTATCGAGACTTATTGATGCCAGAGAACCATCAACGCGCATCCATGATTGAGGAAGGGCAGATTGACGACCCTGAGGTGGAGGCTGACACCTCTAAGGACAATTGATTAAATCAAATCCGGGACAGGATGACCCTCTCAGAATGTTTACATCAAAAGATAACACCAGTTAAGGAGTAACCGGTCATAAACGGACACAGCAAAATCCATAGACTTCAACAGAGAAAAAAGAATATAAGAACAGGGTGCTTGGCCATGGGACGTTGGGTTCGTCTTGCCACAACTCCAGGAGCATCGGATCGCGACCGACAGAGCCCGGCTCCCCTCTGCGACCAATCTGGCTGGCCACTAGATTGATCCAGACTCTGGACTGGTAACTATAAACATGGACTGGCGGGACTCTCTCTCTCTGTGTGTGCGTGTGTGTGTGTGTGTGTGAAACTGAAAAGCATATGCTAACTGCTGTATTCTCAATAAATGCGGCGTGTTGCCTTCTCCCCTATAAAAGATCTCATGTGCTTTGTTTAAGCATCACATGGATTGCTGAGGAAGGAAACGTCCCCCCGTAGTTTGTTACCTGCTGTGTTGAGGGAAAGACGGCTGTGCCTCCATTCTTGGGAGATAAACAGGATTGTACCAAAGAAACACCTGACCCAGATCTACAATTTCTCCTGCGTGGAAATGATCTGTGAGGCTCTGAACACTGGCTAAACCGCTCCGGTGGAAAAGAGCGACACTGAGACACAGCCAGCATTTTGAAGTGGTTTCAGCATCTTGGCTGTGTGGCTGGAAGTGTACTAATTAATCACAATAACTTTATAACTAGAGAGACCAGGTGGGGGAGGGAATAGCTTTGATTGGGCCAACTTTTGCTGGTGAAAGAGACGCTTTTGAGCTACACAGAGCAGCTCTTCTGGTCCTGAATAAGAGCTCGGGACAGCTCAAAATCTTGTCTCTTTTGCCATTTCCTCACCTCCCTTGTCTCTCCGATATCCTGAGACCAGACCAGCTACAACAAGCTGTCATAAATATAAAGAGAAGGATAGCATAAAATCCCTCCTTGGCAGCTGTACTAAATCCCTTTACCTGTAAGGGGTTAAGCAGCTCAAATAACCTAGTTGGCACCTGACCAGAAGGACCAACGAGGAAAGAAAATACTTTCAAATCTATGTGGGGAGGGAGGATTTGTTTGTGGCTTTCTTTGTTGTTCCAGACAGAGGGAAGAGACCAAGCAGGTACAACATCTCCTGCAAATATACCTGGAATAATAGATCTAAAACAACAGAAATTGTAAGTAGGCAAAGCAATGCATTAGGTTCTCTTTTGTTTTGGCTTGTGAATTTTCCTATGCTATGGAGGGAGTTTTATTCCTGTTTTTATAACTGTGAAGCTGAGCCTAGAGGGGAATCCTCTGAGTTTTACATCTTTTTATTTACCCTGTAAAGTTACCTTCCAAACTGATTTTGCAGCTGTGATTCTTTATATATAAAAATAAAGTTCTTATTTTAAGAACCTGATTGATTTTCAGTGCCCTAAAGACAAAGGGTCTGGTCTATGCTCACATTGCTAAGGCAATTGGTTGATATATTAGTCTCAAGCCATCCCCAGGAAAGGGGGTAAAGAGGCTTGGGGGGGTATTTTGGGGGGATAGGGATTCCAAGTGATCCTCCCCTGAAATTTTGTGTAAAACACTTGGTGGTGGCAGCAATACCGTCCAAGGACAAGGAAAGGAATTTGTGCCTTGGGAAGTTTTAACCTAAGCTGGTAAAATATATGCTTAGGGGATCTTTCATGCGGGTCCCCACATCTGT